TATCCATTTTTTCAGACGTTCATCATTTTTTCATCTTGAATTTTTTATTTTCAATTACATAGTAAAGTTTTGTTGGTTAAACTAGAAAATACTTACTGCAATGGAATTCCATATACGACAGCCAACTGCTTACTGCCAACTGTTCACTGCTTACTGCCAACTGCCAGCTGCTTACTGCCAACTGCCACTGCACATAGATGATATTGCCTGTTTTGTTATCTCTAATATCTTTAATACACATGATTGAATAAACCCTATGATAGCAAGAATATTTCAATAATAACAACAATTAAACGGTGAAGGCTAGAAAGGAATAAATAGGAGGAAGGAGTATCTCTTCTTAAATATAAAACATTCAATTCCCACATTTTCTTGCAGGCAAATAATTCAAATAGCTTTTTTGACGGGGGAGAGATTAAGGCTTATATATAATGTCAAAAAAGGAGGGATTTTTAGTAGGATCCTGAATAACATTTTTGGTGTAAGCATTTATACCAGAAACAATGATGAAAATTCATCATACAAGGCATTAATTTTACCATATGTAAAACAGTTGATCTTAGGCAAAGGGGGTCACAACCCAACAGAAATCCCTTGACAAATAATAAAAAAGTTCACAGGCGTCTTTATTGAGGAAGCGCTACAGTATATTATGTTGGCAATTTATTGGGACTCCCCTCCCCCCCCCCCCCTTCACCAGTGTTTAAACGATTTATATAAGACTCCTATAAATACCTCACAAATACAGGTGCCCTTTCATAGGTTAAAAAGAAGCACTAAAAGATATTACTAGATATGTTACTCTAGGCAAAAGTTATGTTATTATAATTTTCATTAATATTTCTAATATAAATACATATACCAACAAATGTTAGCCCCAGGACCCTACTAAAAGTTAGTTCTTTTGTCTAAGTGACCCCCCACCTCTTTAACTAAAGGAACCCCCACCTCCTCGTCACAACAGCTCTCGAATTATTTGCCTGCAAGGAAGTGTGGGAATTAGATTTTTTAATTTTTTTTATTTTGAAGAGGAAATACTCCTTCTTTCGATTTACTCTTTCCTCGCATTCACAGTTCCTAAATCCGCTATTTTTTGTTATCATTGTAAAAACTACGCTCGCAAAATCACGATTTAATTCAATATCAATGGGAATTTGGTCATTAAAACTTGTTTGAATGCAAAAAAAAAAGGTCATTAGTAATGAATTAATAATTCTAAAACCAGTGTCAAAAAGTAATTGCTCTTATTTACAACTCATTTCATAAAGGGGGGGGGGATTTATCATTTGAAATCAGGCTTTAAAACATGACCAAATTTTCAAATACTCAAATAGATTTATCAAATAGATAAATTACCCTTAAATCATTTCATAAGGGGGAGGGAGGGTTAGAAAATTTTATCAATTGAAATCGGGCTATAAAACAGATTTAAAGCTTTTCAAATAGATTTTCAAATACTCATGGAAATGGGTAAATAACCCTTAAATCTCTCCATATGTTTAACTTATGTAAAATTCAACAAATATTGTATTAGATTGACCAAGAACATTTTTTTTATTTGATATCTCATTTGAAATTGGTAATAAAATACATGTAACTATTTTTGCTGTTTTTAGTCTGTAAGCATACCTCCCCCTCCTCCCCCCCCCCCCCCCCCCCCGGTGAAACAACAAAACCACCTTTGCTATGAATTTGTGAACTAATTCATAATACCTGTAAAAGGAATTTTTGTTTCACAAGGGGGGGGGGGGATAAATACATGTATCTGTGTTCCGTTGATTTGTGTAGCGAAACGCTAGTTTTACCAAAATTGTAGACTTAATTCTCTTTGCTTTCCCAAATAAGTTATGTTTTTTTGAAAATTCACATAAATATCTATATAAATATATATAAAAAATCAATCAAATATGTTAAATTTTGAAAATTGAGTTAGAGGTAGGCAGCAAAACAATGCTAGCGTTCACAGTTCTTTTTCTTGATATCATAGGATTTATTCAAGCATGCGTATTAAAGATATCAAGATATCAAAATAGGCAATATCATCTATAAGCAGTGGCAATTGGCAGTAAGCAGTGAGCAGTTGGCAGTAAATAGCTGGCAGCTGGCAGCAAGCAGTTGGCTGTCGTATATGGAATTCCATACTACGACTGCAGGGGCTGACAAATAGATGTTTCAAGCACTTGCTCACTAGTTAGAATAATCTAACTGTGTCTCGGGACAGGCCCTCACCGCAGTTAGAATGCCTCCCATATACCAGTAATGTAGCGGAAAATTGCAGAATCGCTCCGAAACGATTTTGGAGAAATTTAATGAAGTTGCATTGAAAATAACAGTCAAATTAATCATAACAAACCTTTTTGAGACTGTAAATACCTTTCATCTAAAAATTTAATCCATATATTGGAAGAATTCAACACTTTTTCACCAACGTTTTTTACTCGTTTCAAATTTACACACTATGTTGACATTCGGAACTCTCGGGATTTTTCATAGTAAATGCACTGCGTTAGAATTATCTCCTGTATTTTCTTTGATACATAGACAATACACGGAACGCACTCTATCGTTAAACCGGGTCCGCAGGACATAAATCATTTTAACGATAGAACATTCTATCTACTTGCCCACGGGCAAGTGCATGGTCAAAATTCACTTGCCCTACTTCAATTTTTAAAGGTTCTACACTGTCCGGAATTACCCGGTGTCCGGAATTATCCGGATATACCATATAATTACCTTTACTGATTATTGAGTATTTACCGGTAATTAAGGAGGGATTCTTCACATAAGAACACTTCTTTCTTATATTTAAAAATCAATGAAATTTTCACAGAATCAAGAAGACAATATCACTAAGTGATGGTATCAGATTAAATTTGACCGTTTTATATTAGAGGCAAGGTCAGGTCAAAGTCAGTACCTTTTCCCTGGACATTAAGAATAAAAAATTACTGTTGCCAATCATGCGATGCCTACTTCTAATTCAATAAATTAAATGTTTTTCTTTTTGCATAAAGAGATATTACCATATAGGGTCTATAAGATGATATTACCAAATTGACATAAATAATTTAACTAAAATGGATATTGGTTAATCCGAATTTTCTCTATCTTTCTTAAAATTTCAAGGTATTTTAATTATTGTTATATGCTTCCTATATTTAAATTTTTCTTATTTTCACATAATAAGGTAAAGTTGTCACATAAAGATACAAAATGATATAAAAACAAAAAGTTTTGACCGTTTATCAAGAGAGAAAAAAAAACACTTTTTACGGATTTTTGGCTCAAATCTGAACTTAGATTGGAAGCTTTTAAAAGCTAACATAATTGTAGTTTGTTTGGAAAATCATATTTATTTGATATATTTTAAAACTTTAGTCCCTTATTATTAATTTAACTTACATTTAAAAATTTTCTTTAAGTCTTTGTGTAAAAATTATAACTAAATTCATTGTTCTATAATTATTTTGAGAGGCAGAAAAGAAGATATTTTCATACGCTTCCATTCCGCCAAAAATATAGTCCCTGCTAGATTTCAAACTCAGTTTACCATTTCTATTTAAAGTTATACAATTGTGATGAGGAAGGAAAAATATGATCTTTTAAATCTCTTATATCTAAATATATAAAACATATAAGCAAATATACTTTGAATATTTCATCTAGTCAGAAACCAGACAAGAATCCCGCCTTAAAGATGCTTAGACACAGATTTGAAGTTTATATTTTCTCAAAATTTCTGTATAATATCACAACTTATATGTTGCTATAGCATTTCACACGAAAATAAAATTAAAAACTTATTTAATCTGGAAATTATTGAAACTACGAATTTCGGGAGGCGTTTGATTAACACATCTTTGCACTTTCACAATTCTTAACTTTATCCTTAATACTTAAGAAAAGTAGCAATTTTGTTGTGTATTAATGAATAATATTATATCTATAATCCAGAAAATTCAGAGTAAAAATGTGCGAAAGCAAAACCACTCACTTAAATATTGTCAGTCCGAGCTCAGTGTTGTGTAGTTGTATACAGAGTTTAACAAATTGAATACACCTGTGAAACGTAAACTGTTTTTGTAAACAGGGTACGAGCTCTGTTGTTGTTAATGTTTACGTTTCACCAGGTGTGTTCAATTGTTAAACTCTGCACACACCACTGAGCACGGACTGACAATACTGGTGAGAGGATTTTGCTTTCTACATTTCTACTCTGAAATTTCTGCATTATAGTTTTAATATTTTTCATTAATAAATAGCAAAATTGCTACTTTATTAAGTAATAAGTAAGAAGTTAAAATTTGTGAAAGTGCAAGGATGTGTCTATCAAACGCGTCCAGAAATTCGAAGTTTCAATAACTTCCAGATAAAGTAAGATTTTTTATCAAATTTTCTTATGAAATGCTATAGCAACATATAAGTCATGAAATTATACAGAAAATTTGAGTAAAAATTAACTTCAAATCTGTGTCTAAGCACCTTTAAAGCAAAGCGAGAAAGAATAAAATGTGTAAATTAGATCGGGATCGGATGAACAAAAAAACACACACGAAAGAAATAAAACAAACTTTAGATGCATATTTATTTGCGCGTGTGGTTTAGAGTTAAACTCGAACAATTAATTGTAACCACTAATAAAATTAACGAATGATGCAGCTTGCAGAACATGCGTGTTCTTTATTTAGAGGGACCGGGGGTGTAATGTATCAAATATTTTTAAAAAGATAACAATTATGAATGATTATCATTTGGTCAGGTCATTTCAAATTTGGTCAGGTCATTAAATTTTCATGAAATGAATTGATTAATGACAATAAATTTGGTAAAAATGATTGAATATACCTTTATTCAATTGAATTACACCTTATGATTAAGAAAATATGAAAAAAGTTGATATAAAAACTCAGAATATTGATATTTGGAGAATTTTTTGTTGGTCAGGTCAGTCAGGTCTTTAGTAGGTCAGGTCTTTAGAATATTCCCGTACTTCCGGTTGGAAATGTTGATGACGTGAATGATGGGACTTAGAGTGACACTGTTGGACTGAGAAGAAATGGAATTTGATTGACTTATCATGTCAAAATCGGGCTTCTTTGGACTTGAGTCAAGAGAAGTTGTGAGGGTTAAAGTGAAGGTTAGCATTGATGCATATAAAATCTTGATTTAATGAAGAGAATGCCTGACTGTACTCATTACTTTGACATCATAAAAGAAATTTGGGATGGGGGTGGTGTAGTCCGAAATATATGACGTTTTCAGGGCTTTTTAGACGGTGGCTATTTATAGCCACAGGCTATTGCTGCTGCTTTTGGGCTATGAATAACAACAGTGTAAAATCACAGGGATCCTAGCGGCGATTTTTGCAGAGTCAAAATAATGAAAATAGGGTTGATTCGATGTTTGAAAATAAAATGCGTATGGTTAACAAATACTCTCAAGTTATTTCAAAGACATTTTGTTGATGGGCACAAAGCTTAATTCCTGATATTTGCCGTTATCAATATTTCTCGCTTCATGAATATTCATTAAATTACGCTGTCCTACAACTAATACTAATTCGTACACAAACCGACTCGTATACTGTATGCAAACTACAGAAGTCAATTCGTACACATTTTTTTCGTTTTTATGAAGATGACACAAATGTGAAAAGTCAATTCGTACACACAGCTTTTTTTTAACGTTGTGTTTATGTAATATTTCAATAATATTTTCTAATAGTCAGGATATATGAGGAAAAAAAAATATTTGAGGATAATGGTTTCACATTTTAACTCCGAAATCAAATAATTATAATTGCTAAACACACGCACGGCGGTTTCTTAGTTACATGTTTGCGACAAACACTAATTACGAGACGTTCCCAATTTGATACTCCCTAATTACAAGATACTCCATGCTAGGAAAGTGTTGATCTCCAAATTTCTCCAATTCCGAAAGTCCCAATATGGTTCGAGGACTGAACATTCCTTGTTCCGGAATTACATGTTTTATAAATGTTTTATTTGAGACGTTTTGGGGAATTTTTATACAATAAAACTTTAAAAGTTTATTGTAATTTTACGATGTCTTTTGATTGTTTGAATTTCTATTATCTGTTGACGATACTATATTAGAAAGATATATATTTTCGTAAAAAAAAAAAATTCACGACACCTTAATCAGTTAATAAAAGAGTTGTTGGAGGCAGATACGATGCCATAAAATTTGCAAAGTTTATTAAGATTCTATCTATAAAAAAAGTAAGCCATTGCCTAATTATCTCGAACACAAAAACTACTGAACGAAAGCTAATTTATCAAAGCTAAAATTAAAAAGACTGTGACGGACAAAAGTTACCCATATATTTCATTCGTATTTGAAAATTCTATCGTGCTTCGATTAAAATTTACCCTTTAAAAAGTGTAAGAAAAAAGGTACTCAAATACATGTGCATTATTAGAGTTTTCTTCAGTGGGCTTAATTTAGGTCAGACTTCTGCATGTGTTCACAAATTAAATTTCATATTGCGCAATGACTAGCAGGGTCATTGCATATTAAGATTACGTATGAAAAATAGCTAGCATCGTAGCAAACCACAGCCAAAATGTACGATCTCCCATTCTGGATAGAGCTATATGGGAACTCCGAACCGTGGTTTGAGACGATGGAGAGATAGAGGCTGACAAATATTTTGTTATTCTGTTCTTCTTTGTTTTTCTTTTCGAACAGCAGGGGTGTCGGCAAGTATTTGAAATTGGGTAGGCGACCTGGAAAAGAGGGGAGGGGGGCTAACTAACTTTTTGTGACTTGAATGAATTAAAATTTCCGCCTAAATCTTGATATTCTTCCCATTAAGTCAAAAGTCTCAAAAAAATTTTCTGATTTAAAAAGAACAATCAAACATACAAAAAAAAATTAATAATAATAATAAATAAATAGATAAAAAAACAAAACAAAAAACCCATGTTTTATGTGATTTTATTACCATTTCTTGACATAAGCGCATATACATGGAAGAGCTGTCAGTCTCATACTTAGAATGCCAAATATACTTAATAAATAACGAAATATTGTCAATTCCAGACCTATGGATTTTTGTTTAAGGTACTAAAATGAAAGAAAACCAGAATGTTTTTAAATAGAAGTTTGTTTCTTTGAAACGGCAATTCTCCGGATCCGAAACTTTAGCACGCAGGTCACTCTAAACACAGAAAGAACTTTGAAGGGTTTATGACGAGATAAAGATCAAAATACATGTAATTTAATATTACTGTACAATATTTATTGTTTCTTGCCGAAAGAATGCATATAAAATTTAAAATGAACAGGTTGATTAATACCGCTTAATCCCTCCATTTTTGAAATGCAGAAATATGTATGACATATAAAAAAAAATCAACTGAAGTTGTCTTAAATAGTAAATTTTACCAAGTTCTTTTTAGTATTTTATTTTAATTTATATGCCCTTACTCTGTATTTTTTTTATAATTGTTTAACCGCCTACAACTTCGATTCTTCATAGATTTCCAAACATTGATTGAACAATTGATTAGAAAATGAACAGGCCTGTTATACGCGGGGGAAGGGTAAGGAGGGGGGCTCCACTTTTTTTCCCACTTTCTCCACTTGTTTTTGAGAATTCTTTTTTTTTTTTTTTTTTTTTTTTTGCTTAAGATTTGATATGTAAATATTCATTTAGACGCTGCTTGCTCCCTCCCCCTTCCATACACTTTTTTTGTTGAAGTAAGGACTTACTTACTTACTTACTGCCCGTGACGCCTTTGGCGTATAGGGCAGTAACGAGGGTTCTCCATCCTTGTCTATCACTGGCTAGCTTTTGGAGTGTGCCCCAGCTTCTCTTTTGTACTTTAAGTTCGGCTTCCACTGTCCGCCGCCAAGTGACTTTGGGCCTTCCTCTCTTCCGTTTTCCCTCTGGTGTCCAGAAGAGAGCTGTCTTTATGATGCTGTCTGAGTTCCTTCTAAGTACATGGCCAAGCCAGTTCCAGCGTCTTCTGATGATGATTGTGGCCATGTCCTCTTGTTGGCACCTGTTGAGAAGGTCTTGATTTGAGATGGTATTGGGCCAAAATATTCTTAAAATCCTTCTCAGGGACTTTGTATGAAATGTTGACAGCTTGTTCAGGTCACTCTCTGTCATTCTCCAACACTCTGATCCATACAAAAGGATAGGTAGAATGCAGCTTTTGTATAGTTTCAGCTTTGTTCTTGTTGTGTACTGACTTGATCTCCAAACAGTATGTAGGTTGTTAAAAGCTGCTCTTGCCTTGGATAGCCTCTCTTTGATGTCGGTCTCTGCTCCACCATCTGTTGTTACTTTGCTACCCAAGTATGTAAAGGTGTTGGTGCATGGAAGGATGTGATTTTCCACTTTGACCGCTTGTGGGTTGTTTACATTTAGGGTCATGACCTCTGTTTTTTTGGTGTTTATCTTCAGTCCAATGCTTCCTGCATATTTGTGTAGCCTGCTGGTTTTGTCTTGAATGTGCTGGTGGGAGTGGGAGAATAAGGCTATATCATCAGCAAAGTCCAGGTCTTCTAGTGTTGTAAATGTACCCCATCTGATGCCTCTCTGAATGTCAGATGTTGTATTCTTCATGACCCAGTCAATGGCTATGATGAATAGTGTTGATGACATTACACAGCCTTGACGGACTCCTGTTTTAACGTCAAACTCGATGCTGGTGTTTCCAACTCTGCATCTGAAGTTGACATAAAAACTCTTGATGATATCTATTAGATGTTGTGGGATGCCATATGACCGCACAATTTTCCAGAGACTGTCTCTATGAATGCTGTCGAAGGCTTTTTCGAAATCAATAAAATTAATATATAACTGTCGTTGCCATTCTGTACACTGTTCAATGATGTTTCTTAGTGTAAATATTTGATCAATACATCCTCGCCCTGGCCTAAATCCTGCTTGTTCTTTACGCAATTTGACATCTACAGCTATGGATATCCTTCTGATGATGATTTTAGCCATGATCTTACTTGGGATGGAAAGCAGTGTTATTCCTCGCCAATTGTTGCAGTCGTTTAGGTTGCCTTTCTTTGGTATTTTAATGATGACTCCATGGTTCCACTCATCTGGTATGGTGTTTCTTTCCCAGATGTCATGGAAAATTGGCTGTAAAATTGTGGCTGTAAGAAGTGGATCTGTTTTGAACAATTCTGCATTTAAGTTGTCATATCCAGGGGCTTTTCCATTTTTTAGACTTTGTATTGCAGAGACAATTTCTGGAATTTGTGGTGGTTCAATGCTTATGTTTAGGTCATTTGCTGGATAACTGATGTCAGGTTCATGAGTTGGAGGTGGTCTGTTTAAGATTTCCTTAAAATGCTCTGTCCATCGAGTCCATGAAGTAAGGACGAACTGGGCCAAATGTCAGCATTTGAAAAGAAAGAAATCCGGAAAACTTGGAGAACCCCCACCCCTGACTCTCAAGAAATAGAATTTCAAAAAACGTTGCTAATGCTTTCTGTGAGCCTCATCAAGAATTTGAGCAGTATATATCACACAAAAAAGTAAGACTTCTGTACAATTCCTGAAGTCTTTCAAGCTTTTAGAAATAAGTTATAACTAAAGTTAACGACAGCTAGGGAATTTGGCAAAGATGGGAATCCAAAGATAAAGTCTATTTTATATCTAGTTTATGTATGATTTATAATGCACAATCTACAGTACATGGCCAAAAGTGATTCATCATTTCCCTCTTTACTATATACTTTATGAAAAGTGACTTTTTGTTAAAAAATATTTTGGGTTCAATTCTGCTCAAAATTTCAAAAACTTTTCGATTAGTTACGAAAAATTGTTCACATTTCCTTTAAGGAAAGTCAAATTTCTAACTTCAAAAACCACGATTTCATTACACTTTTTTTGTGAAACATGCATCTTAGAATAAAAATGTTCTGTCACTACATGAATATATTAGGAACCTTGATCCCCTTATGATTTAACATTTAGGATAAACTGGTTTTGACATGTTTTAAGCAATAATTTATGTGGAAAAATATATGAGGATCCCAAAATCCATTATTGGAATATATAATTTCAATCTGTCCATCATCCTTAAATATGCTTTCATTTTAAATTTGCAATTATGACTGTATACCACAATAGTACATATA